ATGATTTCTGCCTAACTTAAATAATAATACACATTTCAATTATACACAAAACTTGTATTATAACGCCAGCAGTACACTTATTGTAATTATAATATACATGATGATAATGAGTGATATAAAACTAATTTTTTTTTCGGGAGACCTTTCCTTGACAAACGCATCGCACGGAGGTGTAAATTAAATTAAAGTAAATTAAATCACCCACTTCTCCTTGGAATTATAAAACCTATTTATACTATTGCTATACAAAGCCTACAACAATAGATGGTGAATGGTTTTTATATACAATGTGAATTGCTATAAAGTATAAAAAATATATTATAATTACTATATTGATGTTTTGACAATGCTGTAAACATAATTAAAATAAATGAGGAATTAAGAATATAAGAATATACGAGAACTGTCCCAAAAGTAATGCACAGCGCGCTCTAGCTGTCTTGCAATGTGATATTATCAGCTGATTTTAGTATCAGTTTGTAGCTTGAAGTCTAAAGAACACGTGCGTTTTCAATTTTAGTTGTTTTAGTAAAGTATGATGATGTGTGAGAGCGATAACGAAAGTGAGAACAATTCGTCGGCTCACATTTCTGTTTTTGAGCAACGCACATACATTAAAATCGAAACGATTCGTGGTAAAACAGTGCCTGAAATTCATGCCGCGTTAAATGAAGTGTGTGGAACGGATACTGTGGATCGTAGTACGGTGCAAAGATGGCATCAGCGATTCCGTGATGGTCGTATAAGTATTGATAACAACCCTCGCTCTGGCCGACCCTCTACGGTTACTCAAGACAACACTAACGCGGCTATTCTCGCAACTCTACTCGATGAAGACCGACGAATAACGGTGAGAGAGATAGAGAATGAAACAGGTATTTCAAAATCAAGTGTTCACCGCATTTTAATGGAAATTCTACAGAAACGAAAGATTGCAGCACGTTGGGTGCCTCATTTTCTGTCACCGGAACAGAAGGATACACGCAAAGACATCTGCCGTGAACTCCTTTCTCGCTACTAAAATGAAAAAGAAACGTTTCTTGATCGTATAATTGCAATAGATGAGACTTGGATCCGTGATTTTGAGCCGGAATTAAAATCTCAAAGCAATATTTGGAAGGGAATAACATCACCAAGAGCAAAAAAAGTTCGTCGCCAGCAAACAAAGGTGAAACAAATGATGATTTTTGCTTACGATAAACTTGGGATAATTGTCACTGATCGAGTTCCAATTGGCAGTAGTGTAACCGGGGATTACTACAAAACATTCCTTGCCAAAAAATTGCGACCAGAAANGTGCTATAAAACCAATGTGTTTTCGGGAGACCTTTCCTTGACAAACGCATCGCACGGAGGTGTTCAATAAATTAAATCACCTTGTCACTTTTTAAATCACTTCTCCTTGGAAATATAAAACCCATTTATACTTTTGCTATACAAAGCCTACAACAATAGATGGTGAATGGTTTTTATATACAATGTAAATTGCTATAAAGTATAAAAAATATATTATAATTACTATATTGATGTTTTGACAATGCTGTAAACATAATTAAAATAAATGGAGAATTAAGAATATAAGAATATAGAAAGAGAATTAAGGTTAAAAATGTATACAAATTTTTAAAAAAAAATTTGAAGGGGAGATATAATGATCACATGATTAAAACTATTAAGAAAATTAATAATAATGAATATAAACATATATTATATTAAACAACATTAATATAATTAAAAGCTTTAAATTCCTCATATTATACAAAACGTATCAGGACCTAGTTAATTATAAGTATTATAATGTGTGGGTAAATTAAATATATCTACTAGTATACAATTATTACTACAACAATTGAACGCAATTATATATAAATAAAATGATTCAGACAATAAGGTAGAAGGAAAGACCTCGCATTTCTAACAAATTTCTAGAAACAGAAGAACACGTGAAGATTCTCGACATTTAAGCGTAGTAATTTCAAAGCACGATATTCTAACGTCGACATTTTGATTATCGATAATACAACTCATACGATATTTAAGCACAAGGCATTTCAGCACATATTATCATAAGCACTTATTAATACTATGGGAAGATAAGAAAGTTAAATAACAAAATTGATATTGAAACAGAATAACCAAATTATGTAGGAAAATGACTATTTATGATTTAAATTTACTTTTATGATATATGTGAAAATATGTTCACATAAGAATTACACAACCGAAGTAGGAATTCTTAGGAATCACACCATTTGAATTACGTCGTATGAAGACCAATTTAATGGTGCGCGGGAATAACGTGCTATATAGCAATGCATACATTGTACAGTATCGAAGAAAAGTACAAAATACATAATGTATAATCTTGAACATTAATAATTGTTATTATTGTAAAGCAGCAGTTCTTAAACTTTTGGTGCATTCGGACCCCCGATGAAAGACTTTGAAAAATTACGGACTGCTACCAATACCTTTTTTTACAAGATATGTCATGTTATCATAATCAATATTTACCAAAAGAACCACTGTTTTAGAGTGTTGGTATGTATGTAATTTGTAAACCTTTTCAGGTCCGCAACTATATAAGTGGACCACCGCGTTGAATTAGAATAGATTAATTGAGCTAGATATGGATAGCACCTTCACTCCAGTTTCTTGAGAATTTTAAAATATACCAATATTATTGAATTATTCGTGTGCCATTAAGATCTTACGTGATATTGGAAATCGATATTTTATTTAATTAGACCATACATTTGCACCCAAGTAAGTGACGGGTGCAAACAACGAGAAACGTTCGATATAATATGCGATAATACAAAATTGCGCAGTCATCGAATTTACATAGGACAAATCATTAATCTTGGTTTTAATTTTAGTTTAAATTATTTACCGAATGCAATTCTTCTATTTTTTTCTTGAGCTATGCCTGTAAATAAAAATAAGAAAGCTTATCTAAATATCGAATACACAAATACACGTAATTACGTTTATTCTTTTTAATCATAAATTACTCACTTAAATCAATGACGGATTCAGCCATATTGTCTGTTGATAATAGTTTCGGAAATAAATCAATCACAAAATATAACATAAATATTATTCTATGCAACCATTCGAATAAATTAGGATACATATAATCATAATATTATTAGCTTTCATATTTATATTAAAATATTTCAATCGCACCTATATAAGTTTCTATTACAATATTATAATATTATATTTTATTTTAGATAAATAATAAATTTGTATAAGAAATTGGATACTTACCATAACATGCTAGTTTTAAAACAAAACATGAACATTATCAATACATATTATTAATTTTTTCTAAGTATGAACAAATTGGTATATTTAGGTATGATGCATTGTTTATCTGAGCTTGTCTATTCCACTAAAGCGTAATCCTCAATTGACGTATCAAGTATATATTTTGCTCCAAACGATAGAAATAACTGTCTTTTTGAACCATGCCTAAAGATATCTTAAATTATGTTTTTAACATAAGCAAGTGTTATAAAATAATAATAGTACTGGAAAACCAAGATAACTAGCGGTGACATACGGAGCCTTAATTTTACTTTTGGTTGTCTACCTTTGCCCCTTATTATTATTATTTTTGTTACTATTTGGTCCATGTTAGAGAACAAGTATCCATGACTATGATCGATTTTTAGCATAATATTATAATTTCATGGTATTTAATTTTATTATTAAACATTATACATTTGTAAAATGTCTGTGAAAAAAATCATGTGCAATAAAATATCGCTTTAATACCGGGAATTTAAATCTAAATTATTTACTTATAAATAGAAATATTTTGTAGACAGAAAGTCCCACGAAGATATATCCATTGCAATATCTCCAGAAATAATAAATATAACCAAATTTTGAACTCACAGCAATATAAACTATAAATATTCATATTGCAATTAATTTATTCTGTTTCGATAAAAACCTTAAAAAAATAACTTTTCATTTTATAATTTTTGAAAAATATGAAGAAAGAGTTAATTTTTCTGTACATTTTGAAATATAAACTTATTGTTTTCATTAAAAACGTTATATTTAGTCAATTTTTTAAAGTTCAAAGAAATGTATCTATAATTATGCAGCAGGCTGTAATCTCATTCTTTAAATGATTAATATTACGATTTATTGACGGTATACTTCTTTTCTCTGAAATTTAAAAAATTATTAAATGTTACGAATTTAATGAAAACAAAAAATCAATAAGTCAAAAATTTCTGAATAATCAACTCTATAAAATGGCTCATCTTCAAATTGTTCAAAACAATAAAATAAAAAATTATTTTTAAATTTTTTACCAAAACATAAAAAATTAATTGCAGTATAAATATTTGTAATCCTTATCCTAATGAGTAATATAAAAAAAAAACTACAATTTGATTATCTTTATTATCTCCAGAGATACAACTACTCATTCGTAGTGCACTCTATCAATCATTTATTTTATTATATTTATTGTGTTANAAAGTAGTTAATGCTCAACAATTATTGCCCATAAACTATAATTATATTATATTATTATTATTATTATTAATATAGGATTAAAGATACCTATATAATTTGGATATTTTGACCTATATTCAAAAAAATCGGCTATTCATATAAAATCACTCCATCCAAATTTAATTTTAAAACATATATATATAGAAAAAATAATTTTATGATTCAAAAAAGTTTACACTGTGGAAATTTGTATAACTCTAGTACAACTGCTAAAAGGACGTGGTACACCTGTGATTTGAGTGTTGTAACATAATTGTCGAGTATGTTATTAATAAATATGATTGATCGACAATTTGTTTTATTTTAATAAGGAAAACTTTATCTGTGACGTAGCGTTTTTATTTTTTAATTAGTATAAAAAGGTTTAAAAATATTAATTTTCAAATTTTGTAAATATATCAAGTTTTTTGTTTACAAATATAAAAGTATTGAGACAAGTTATTCGAAAATTGCAAAAAAGGTACGTCACAGAAAATATATTCCTTATTAAAAAAAAAAAAAAAATGTTCGATCTATCATAATTATTAAAAGAATGATTTTGTTTCTCGTAATACTGTTTTTTCGTGTAAAAACATTGATAAATAATTATTTCGCAACAGCGGAGATACGGTGAGCGCAACATCATCTCTCGTGCGTTGCACGCGAACAGCATTAGGTATCACGCCTTCTTATTATAATTTTATAATCTTATTATAAAATGAACATTTTTAAATATTTATTTATTTAATAATAATAATAATAATAATAATACTTAGTAGTAATAATAATTATAATGATCAAAAAAAAAAATATATACATTTTATAAACTCGATTTTTCTTTAATTTGTCCATTATGACATTTTACAATAATTGTACAGTAATTTCTAAATGATTAAGTAGTAACACAATATTTACATTCATCTCTGGTCTTCAATATTTTATATTGACGTAATATGTATTGGTATCTTTATATTACTCTATTCGGTAGAGTAATATATTCCATAGAATCTATGGAATATACATACATACATTTGTTATCACTTATCATTTATTTTCTTCACAATTGAAAACATTTTTATCAGAAATCGAATATTAATATCGACTTTTGGGTACCTATTTTAATTTATAGTGTTTGACGTAGGTATGGTTTATTTTAATTTTTTAAAAAAAATACACTTATATTTGAATTAATTTGTAACTAATATTTTTGGAAATGATAACTCGAGTATAGGTATAAATGTATAATATCGGTATTTCAAAAAGTTATAATTTCGAAACTATGTATCAGTCTGCTCAATTCTTACTTCAACATCGTTCTTAAATCGGAAATATACATATATTCAAAAAAAAACATTGATAAATTCGATTTTGTTCCATGTAATATTTTACTTAAAAGATTTTCGTCAAAATTTGATATAAATATTCCTTTATAAAAAAATAATATATTGAATTCAATTTTTTTTTTTTGACAACAAAGTAATGATTTTAATGAACCTCCTGTTAAATTCTACTATTTAAATACTATTTAGTTTCATAATTTTTCAACACAGAACACCTACCGAATAAAAATTACGTATTAAACTAGCAAAATAAAATGTCTATAAAATAGCTCAAAAATTGTTTACATTTTTTGAAAATTTTATCAAGTCTAAAAAAGCAAATATAAGTAGGCTGTCCATATTTCAAGTCTCTACAAATATTTTTAACTGAATTACAACAAATAACAAAATTGGAAAAATAATAAAAGCATTATACTCGTGAATTTCCTGTGTTTTAGATTACGAGTATCTAATTTAGTATATGAGTATATTTATATATTGGTGAAAAAGCATCACTATTAACTGAATTCCACTCAGAATCGTTTTTTCACAAGCAAAGGCTTTTCTTTGCTTACAGGTATACAATACATTATCAATAACAGTGGCTGCACCCGGCTCTATTATTCTAGGACGTTTCTCTTACGTTGTATCCTGTTTTTTCACAAATTGTATGAAAGCTGCTGAAAAAATCAAAAAATTACGCCCTAAATGTACCATCTGGACAATAATTTTTTTCAGAAATGGTGTCATGCTTGTGGACCAAGATATCTGGTAGAACATAAATATAAAGAACCGTAAAAAAAAAATACGTATGATTTTAAATATTTTTGCATTAAAAAACTTTTGTATTCTACATTTTTTTATGCATATTCCTGTACTTGAGTAATTATTAGTTATATAATTAAGTCAAAATATATAAGTGTATTTTTAATAAAGTAAAGAAGGAAAATAGATAACTACAGGTAAAAATGTGTAGGTGGTTAAATTGATAATCCCTTTCGTATACCTTCCTTTTTTGATCGATTTCAATCTAAATTAAAAAATGATTAATTTTCATTCAAATGTATATCAGCTTCATAATAACTTATTCAATTGTTTCGTTTTTATAGTCCTCAAAACCGTTGCACTGCACTATTGGATTGATTTTACCAAAATTTAATAATGTTTTGTAATGTTTCTGCTGATCGTCCTAATCAGCTACTGATTGAATAATTATTCACAAAACTTATATATATATATATATATTGTTATAATATTGCAATATAACATCATATATTTTTTAATAACTTCTACATAATTATTACATAACTATTGAAATTTCGATTTGGCTGGAAAGTGAATCGACCGAAAACAGAAGGGTACGATGTTGGTCAAAAACAGTTATTTAATCGGTACCTCACGACATGATGCTGAATACGTATAATATGCTAAATACGCATTAGTGGAATAGACATACAAGTAGCTTGGCTCGTAGGATAAAATATTAAATAATTAATAAATAAATAAATAACAGTAATTGTTATTATTATTAGAGTTAATTTCAATGAATAATGGACTCCACCGAGCATATACTTCGTTAAATTGTGTATTACAATAATGGACTAAGACGATTTGACGATTTTAAAACTACCCACATATCTTATTTTGTATCTAGTTTATAATTATAATCTTGGTTCATGATTATATCAGAACTATTAAAAAAAATATGACTGTCAATCATCAGCACCACTTTGATGAGCTATAATCAAATGCTATAATACTTAATACAATACTATATTAAACTGTACTAGAACTATAATACTTTCAAGGGAATTGTGATGTTTGAGTAAACAAATAGTAGGGGAGAGACTGTGGGAGTTTGGTTTTGAAGTACCCAAAATATAAGACAAATCCTTGATACAACACATAATATTGCATTAATAATCTTGGATTCATTTGGGGGGAGGGGTTGGTGGGAGTCATTTGGGGTGTTTTAAGATAAATAAAAAAAAACATTCTTCCCAAAACATAATAATTAAATTTAATCCATTTATCACTTCAGTTTGTTTATAAAACAACTCTATTTCCCGAATTTAAGCTAAGTTTGTTCCGGGAGGAGCAGCTTTAGGAATTCTCAAAAGTAACGGGAAAAATATTATACATATCCAATGTATCTACATTTGTTTACAAAAACATATGTTTAACAGTTAAATTAAGTTCATCTATAAATATTTATATATTAGTGATGATAATTAAAATTAAAACTTTTAAATTGTTATATTAAAAATCTAATTAAAATATTTACCTATAACACGATCTACCCAATGTTCAACGTTATAATTTGTGTTTGAAATTAATTCATCTAGAAAAATATACAGAATCTATTATATTATATAAATGTAAGAATAATAATTTTACGGATATTAATTTCATTTAAGAAATTGCATATATGTAGAAATGTAGGGTCATTTAGTTTATACATTGAAAGCAAAAATAAATTTTAATTAAATGATACAAATTTATTCTGAACGGAACTCGATAAACTGGTAACTTTCCAGTTATANTGGCCTTTTTTTTATTTTTACTTTTTTTGAGGTTTTTATATTTTTGAGACATACAATTAGAAATATTTTTAAAATTCTGTATCACTGAAAAAATCCACATTTACAAGGTACCTTTTTACTGAATAAGAAAATGTATTCCGAAAAAAAGCACCCTAAGAAAAACTCATTTCTTTGCCATTGCACTCAGAATATAAAGTAAACATTAATTTTAATTTAATTTTTCTTCGATTTAATATTATTTTGAGAACTTTTAATAAACTTTATTTAATTTTAACAAACCTGATATGATTAAACAATAATGTTTTGGAGACATCAGAATAGGTTGTTTAGTTCTTGGAACTTCGCTTGATTTGTTTTTATTTGATAAATTTATTGGGTGTTCTGAGTCATAATTTATCGATATTTCTCCTGATTTAATAATTGAAAAGAGATATTATTTAAGTAGGTATTATATATTAGATTATATGTAATTTGTGTTAAATAATAACACAACGTAAATACTTACCGACTTTAATGTTTTCATAAAGATACAGCATGTATTTTAGTGCATAGTCTAAAAATTAAAATGACGATTTAAGTTTTCCATGCATTTGCCATTAATAATGTTAAAAATAGTTAAAAATAATAATTTTTTACTGTAATTAGATATATTTTCATTTATAACCAATATTATTCAGAATAATTAGGTATATTTACAATATACCTCACTTTTTCAACGTCACATTAGATTTTGTGTGAAGTTGAAAAACGTTCCTTGAAAATTTTCCTTTAGGAAAATATTAAGTATTAATGATTTTTGAACCCATATAGTGACATTTTACTGGTATAGTAATAATATATATATCATTTAAAATTACAAGATTCTAATATTACTGCAAACATCATTAATTTTTTGTGACATCCAGTCATTCCTTATCAGGGGCGACATTTTAATATTTGTTAGGGTAGGGCATAATAATGACTGGCCTAATATGTATAATACTTTTAAGTCCATACCAAAAGAGCTTATATATCTGTACCTCTATTTACGACAATATTTTCGATTATTATCTTAAATCTTGCATTGTTTCCGCCTGATGAGCTGCTGCAGCTTGTTGTATTGTCAAGATACACTTTTTCCCGAAGACTAATTAATTATTTGGACTGTATGAAATGAAAAAGAATCAAGCACATTGTACTTGATTTATCGATGATGACTTATAGATCATTTTCAATTCATAATATTATATGCGGACCCAGAAACATTACCGCGACCGACTAGCGGTCACTGTCTCACCGCCACAACCTTGTAATTTTAGTACTGAACCCGAGAGGGGGTAAATTTATACAACTATCACAGCAAAGTCCACGTTAAACATACCAAGCCCATAAATATCATTGAAGTTATGTGTTTCTAGGTGGGGAAATTCTCAATACTCCTCTTCCATAAATACGACTAATGCAGTGCACAATGCATAAATGTGTAATCTGCAGCTTGTAAAAAAATTTTAAAAGACATATTTATAACTAGTCCCTTCTTTAAGGGAAGAGGAGGTGGAGGTTAAAACCTGTGGCCAACCCCCTCACTTAAAAAAAAAAAAAAAATTAAAAATCTAGTGCCATCAAATATTGACATACAAAAATTATACTAGGTGGAGGGGGGGAGGGTTAGAGGGATGGCCACAGGTTTTAACTCCCACCTTTTCCTCTTCTAAAAAAGGCACTCCACCACGGTTTGATCAGCAGCATGATATTTTATTGCACGACCAATCGCGGCGGTTATTTTCCCACCCATACAACTGCGAACGCCCGTGGACGACGCAACGATTCAGTGATAACGCGTCTCTCTCGCACCACCCTTCAATGTGAACAAATTGTCTGCGACTGATAAAGTGTATTTTGTTGTTAAGCGTAATATAAGAATATTAGCATTGCTTAAGTTGTTGTGATTTTGTTGACGTTCCTACCTGACCCACGGGAACCAGTCATGACCACGCTCCCATGTCGTGTCAACTGGTTATAAATATTTCTACTAAAATTATTTTACAAGCTACGGATTTTAGCTTTACACATTGTGTAATTTATTTAACAATAGTAGGCATAGTATGATTTAGGTAGACTTTTCTGTGATAGTTTTATTTTCACCCACTCTTAAAGAAGAAAATTCTTTAAAAAGTACCTTAGGTCACCGCTACAACAATTTTATTAATAGATACAGGAATCGGGCTCTATTATATATTTGTAAAATATAACATTTCAAGACATAAAATAAGAAATTTACATTTTATTAATTATAATATTACAATGCATGTTATAAATTTACAATACAGAGTCTAACCTCCGGTTTTTCATATAAGAGAATCTCCCAATGACATAATTCACTGGTATATTTATTTTCTGTTAAATATGCAACAGTGCAAGCCCACATAACCGTTAAGGTCTATTACTTATTTACACTGTGTAAATTAACATTGTTTCGTTAGAAGTTGGGTAAAATTAATTATAGCTAAAACTGGGAAAACTAACTAAACTTACTAAAAAATTATGACTGTAAAACGAGAAAAATATCTTCCGCAAGAAATCTCACTATCACATGGTGACTTCACACGATGGTGGAACACTATTGTAGGTGAGAAGTTAGTAAGGTAGGAAATAGAGGAAAATTTAATGTAAATCTGTACGCAACGNTTAATCATTGCTAACGAAAAATGATTCTGATGTTAGGTTAGGTTAACCTAACCATCTGAGCGGAGTTCAGTTCTAGTTAGTAAAGACTTAAGTAATTTTAGTTTGTATACGATGTTAAAATGAAAATATTATTATATATGAGGGAGTTTTTTAGTAATTTATTACCTAAATCCTATTAAATAACAACATGTTTAAAAAAAAAAATCGATTTGGAAACCAATTTAAAATAAAACCGACAAACATACATTTACGAAAATGTTTTTCAACAAAAATAGTTAATAACATTTTTAATACAAATTTAAATTCTTAAAACTAAGATTTTCACAAAAAAATCATTCAAAATAAAAACTCGCACATGTACTAATAGTCTAAATTTTGGTACCTTTATACACTTCAGAATTTTTGTTACTATTTGTTAGTGAACTCAACGTAATAGTAATCGTATTTTAGCATATTATATAAATAATAAAGGTTTATATTTTATTTCTTTTCTATTAAATTGAAATTTAGTGTGATAATTTTTTAATATGTGTATCTACTGGGTATAATATTGTCGGTGATGTTAGTAGGGGAAAGGGAATCTACGGCAAAGTAAATACATGACATATAATTTGGTGGTGTAATGCCTCCGTAACCAGTGATGGTAATTTGAATAAAAATACTTTGTTAATGAGATTCTATTCGAAATAATCCAAAAAGTCTGAATTATTTCATGGATTTGTTGACACATTTAACTAGGTAAAATTACCCCAGGACGGTAATTGTAATATGATTTAAGAAGCGGTAGATTTCAGACAAAATATCGATAGCAGTTTTTTATGATTTTGAATTTAAAAAAAATATTGATTTTGTGATTTTTTTTTTTTTAAGTCGCAGACTATTTTGTGAGTTTATTAATTTTGTAAATTTTTTCGTTTTTCCTACCTTATTTCCCGAATATTCCTAAATATTTTGGAAACCGGTTGAAAGAATCAAAAATTTCCCTTTCCAATGTAATATTCAGGTAAAATTTAATTTCGGAATTGGTACAATTTTTTATTATCAGAAATTCTTGGTAAAAAAGTTGTTTACAGATAAAGAAAGACAAACTTCGCATGATGGTTGTGCCACTATTGTAGATGTGAATTTGCATGGTAGGATGAAGAGACAAATTTAATGTATATCTGTACACAACGATTTCGAGTTTGGTTATACATATTTTGAAAGGCCGTAATATTCACGGTTTGAAAATAATGTGTTTTGTACCTAAATTTTCCTGCTTTTCCTTGACCTACCCAATAGTATAAAAAGATATGCTTTGGATTTTCAGGAGCAAAAGTAGGAGCTATACCTATAATATGGTTAATAACTTAATAGGTTGCAAGGAACACGGAGTAATGAGCAGAAGCAGCAGCTATCTATAACTATTAATTTATAATATCCACAACGTACTTAATATATTAAACGCGGCCGTGTTGTTTAAGGTTTTTATTTAACTTCGAATCTTGTCTGTTATCCATACGATTTCTCGACAACGGCTAAACGTACGGGGATAAGCTTGGTATATTCTGAATCAAGACGAGCTCTAGTCGTGCATGACAAAGGGTTTTTTCTACAATTTGATTGTTTAGATTTTCAAAAGACAACCGCGGTTGTCGTCGCAGCGCGATATGCGTCACGTTGATGATACGGTGGTAGCGGTTAAGTTTCAAGGGTTATCAGATCTTCCTCCACTATGTCGATCAATATTTTCCAGGTTTTCCTCTAGGCTTTTTACTCTGTGGTTTCCACTCCAGTGCTTTGCTAATTTTATCGTTCTCTCCTCTTATCATTATGTGACCTAACCATTGTATTCTTTGGCCTAAAACGAAGCTCATTACTGGTGCTAGTTTCATCATATTGCACATTTATTTGTTTAATCTCTTCCGCCCGTTCCCAGTTGTTTCATCGATGATAGATTGATGATGTTCTCAAAAGTTCCCAGGTTTCTCTCTGTTTGCCTGGTTTTCGTCCAAGGTTCACAGCCATACGTGATAGTCGATCTTATACTAGCCACATAAGCCTCAAATTCGTGTTCTTAGATATAGTTATGGTTGTTAAGAATTTCGTCTGTGTGTAGCATGTATTTTGGACTTAATTTTATTTATAACAATACTTATTTTTAAATTTTGAGTGGAGCGAAGAAGCTTATAGTTTTACAAAGATGTTTATTTTTTTTTCTGTGGACAACATTTTCACCAGAAATCTTGCTTCGATTTTTAATTTTAGCAACCTTTCTGAAAAATAATCTGTGTGGGGAGGTACTTTAGGCAGATAATTTTTCGTAGGTCATTTTTTAGGTACTCTAGATATTTTTATTACAATTGTTATCGCGGTTACTTGTATTAGTGAGTAATAATATTGTATAAACTGGTTATCATGTATATTATCAATGGTGAAAAGGGTCGAAGATGAAATAGAGTTGACAGAATTAAACACAGAGTTTGATCCTAGTCTAGATTATAATTAATTTCGTAAAAAGAAATAAGAAAACCCATGCGGCGGGTAACTAATAGCAGCAACAGAAAAAAAAAAATTTAGAAAAAAAAAGGGTTGATCAAAATAACTCGAGTATGGACGTTGGGCGGTGATGGCAGAAATCTGTTTGTAAAAAAAAATTTTAAAAAAAAGCTGGCGATATATACATATTGCCATCGTGCGTATTAATTGGCAGCCTTTTTGTGATTTTGTCCGGGTCTCCTTTTCCGATCGACGTACTTGTGTGATTTGTGCCTCGCGGTCGTATAAATCATATCGCGTTACGTAATGTTGTGAGTACGCGGTGTACGTCTACGCCGGTATCGTGGGCGTGTGAGGAATGGCACCGCCCGTCGTTGTAGCCGTTATTGTTACCATTGTTGTTGCTGTTTTGTTATTTGGGTGTAAACTGATATCGTGTGTTTACTACCAATATTTCCGTAACGGATACCTATATTATTGCGTGAGACATTATTGTTTTTGGTCACCTATTCTCCTCGAATTTCGACGTTGCGAGTCGACTTTGTATACCTCGACGGCGCCAGACAGGTCCGTGGTTGGCGATTAAACATCCATATTGGTTTAACTGTCATTACGTATAATAGACGTTTGTTTGCAAATCTAGTTTGGAATGTCCTTCCAACTAACCAGTACAATTTGTGAATTTTTTTCTTGATTTGTAATTTTTTTTGACAAATATGACGCTTCCGAAGAGTCANGGTGCATATCAAAGTATTTAGCTAAATCTTTTTGTAGGCTTATTGTGTGATCCAGTGACACTTGGATATCCTCAGTTTTGCGCAAAGTAAAATTTATGTGCACTGAATTGTTACTTTTAATTAGAATTTTATAATGTCTTGTCTAATTTAAAATGTTGTTGATTGAGATCTGTAAGTAATCAGTCTCAGCCTGTGTTGATCCTTATTGGTCGTTAAAATTACCGTATCGCCAGCAAACATAGCGGTCATTGATTTGTTGTTTGTAGGGATATCGGCTGTGTAAAGCAGATAAAGTTAAGGTCCTAGAACTACTACCTTGTGGTACTCCAGCCGATATATTCCTCTAATTTGTTATCGCTTCTTTATGAATGACTCGAAACTGTTCAGTCAAGTAAAAATCAAGAAATGCGCACCAGGTTTGCAACAATTGTTCTCGTAGTTGCATGAGTAGTTTTTTATGCTAAACTTTATCAAAAGCTTGAGCTACGTCTGGAAATACTCCACCGCAATATTTTGTTTTCTTTCAGAGGCTTGCTAGTAACGTTTGTGGTGTTATAAAGTTCATTGAGTTTTGGAATCCAAATTGATGATCAGGCATGAAGTGTCTTTTCTCTATTAGTGGTTTTGATTGAATGAGAAGAAGCTTTTCAAAGAGCTTCGGCAAACTTGATAAAAGAGATATTGGTCTGTATAAGAATGAGCTTTTTCTGGTGGATACCTGGTTTCAATAACATAATTAGTCGCATTGCATTTTTAAATTGCTTTAGGATATATTATGTTGGTATAATAGCAGTATATATACTAGTAAAAAGAACAGTGACTTTCTTTAAAAGTTCTTTAGTTATGCGTGGATAGATCTTATTTAAACCGAGTGCCTTTTTGGGTTGATATTGGTTTAAATTTCATAGGCAACTTCGAGGGGTCTTAAACTGTGAAGTAACGTATTGTTACTCTTGCTGCATTAAGTGGTTGGCATTGTATCATATCGAATTCGGAAGCAATATCGTTCAGTTGAAAAATACGGTCAAGGTGGGGACGCCACTTTTCCTACTAATATTTAATTTTATATAAATAATTAAATAATTTTAACATGATTATTATTAATACGGCTGGATTTAAGTTAATTTTTGCATACCATTATTTATTAGACGTAATAAATTCCGTTCAACATCTAAGACACAAATAACAACTTACCCTTCAGATCACCTTTCACTGTAATAAAAATCAACTCAATTTAATTTAAATCAATCAGTTTAATATTTGTTGTGATATTTTTGATTTAAAAAATTACATTTCTATATTATAGGATTCCTATATCTGNATACCATTATTTATTAGACGTAATAAATTCCGTTCAACATTTAAGACACAAATATCAACTTACTCTTCAGATGACCTTTCACTGTAATAAAATCAACTCAATTTAATTTAAATTAATCAGTTTAAGATTTGTTGTGATATTTGTGATCTAAAAAATTACATTCCCATTTCATAGGATTCCTATATCCGAGAATTGGTAATTTGAAATTAAATGCTGTGCTTTGGGATTTTGGAACGATAATAAACAAAAAATATTTTAGACTCACAAATTAATCATTTGTCACGAGTTAATTATTTAAAATACTTACCCACATATTTGTATGCAAAAATGGCACATTCTTTGAAAGTTGTACAACCTACAAAAAAAAAAAATATCTGTGAAATATAGATTTAAAATAGGCAAAGCGATTACCCATGAATACTTACGTATATTTTGTAAAATATTTAATTCATAAACAGATTGTTTTGTGATGATATACCTATTGTAATATCTTCAGGAATTATAAAGATAATCAAATTCTGTTTTTTTTTTTTAATTGCTCATAGGGATGAGGAATACCAATATTCATATTTGAATTAAATTTGTATATTTCGGAAAAAAAATTATATAAAAAGCTTTGTATTTTATTATTTATGAACAATTTGAAGGTAGTCATTTGATGTTGATGTAATATAATGAATATGGTTTATAAATGTTATTTTTTTGTCTAACTACTATTGGATTTATTACGTGCCACGGTGTGTACTCGTAAACACTAAACATGTAGTAACTGAGCTGATCGAGGTAATCTTTTTGTCTTTGTTTTTGATTATGTACATTACTAGAATAATCTAAATCCATTTTTATTTTATTTTCCTTATAAGTTGATAATTAATTAAGTTAAAATAAAATGATCAGCCAATTTTTCAAACTTATTCAGATATCCACAAGAACATACAACGACGATGATGGTATAATAGATCAAACAATCGAACATTTAAAAATTAAATGTCACCTCGACTTTTAACGAGTCATCTACTTCTTTTTTCAGCGTAAGAGTTAAAAATGTAAAAATGTTATGAAAAATGTCCAAAAAAAAAAAAAAAGGTACTTACTTATATAAAATCAATAATTATAACTAGGCCTGTCCTACATTTTGATCCTGAATTCGTCTCTGGTTATTTATTGTATCACTTCATCATAGCGCATGTTTGAGGTTATGAAGAATATTTGTGTCCTTACCGATTATTTAGATATAGAGGGTATTCGTCAAATACACGAAATGCGTGAATGGTTTACTTGGAAATTCATGTTAAATAGCCGATTAATCATGTTAATTTCGGGTATTAGTGTATAATCGGAAAATATACGAGTCACGAGTTTACGAGTCTGAACCCGGCATGTGAAAATATTCTACTTTTAGCATATAATAAAAAGGAAACTATTTAATAATTTACCTCCGAAAGCAGTTGATATTTGATCTGTTAGAACATAAACATTGTAATTAAATATACTTTTATAATCAGTAATTGATTAATAAATAATATTGACTGCACTTATGTATGTAGTAATGTATATAGATAATCGTTTTACATTTTGTGAAATTCTAAATTACTATTACTATTCAATTTCTGTGGTCTATGTTATAATTTATTTAGGTATATCTACTAAGAATTTATTTTGAACAATACTCTACTAAGTGTGTGTCAGTTAGTTAACAAAAAGAGGACCATTGTTTATTTATAAATAAGTTATGATAATACGAAATTCATAATATTAACATACAAAAACATAACACAGTCTGCAAGAATTTAAATATTAAAATATTTAGT